TTTAAAGTCTTATTAAAACGTTCTACTTGTCCATTTGTTTGTGGATGATAAGGAGTGGAATTATGATGTTTAATTCCAAATTTTTCCATTAATTCTTTGATCATCGTATTGTTAAAATGAGTATCATGATCTGTTAAGATTTTCATGAGGCAACCATGTCTACATATAATGTCTTCATAGATAAATTGAGCAACTTGACTAGCATTTAGTGAACATATCAACAGCTACAATAATGTATCAATTTCCTTGTGATGTAATTGGTAATAATCCAACAAAATCTATTCCTATCTGATAGAAAGGGCTATGGGGTGGTATAGGATGTAATTCATTATTTTTACTTGGTCCTCCTCTTCGTTGGCAAGGATCACAAGCTTTAATATATGCTTTGATATCTTCATACATTTGTGGCCAATAATATCATGTCCTAAGTTTGTTGAACATTATTTCAATTCCAAAATGTCCAGCTGTAGGATCATTATGCATCATATATAGCATCGGTTCTAATTCATACCATTTAAGAACTTGTAAAAGGTGTCCAGCTCGTCTTCTATCATATTGGTATAAATTTGAATTTTGAATTATAAAGTATTTGGTCATATTGACGAACTTTTTCTTTTCCTGATTTGATTGGACGTAATCAGGGTATTTGTTGTGATTTAAATATTGCTGTATTTTGAAATATTGTTGTATATCCATATTGGATAATTGAGCTGTAAGTCACAATGCTTACACTTTCGCTTACACTCAATTAGATTATTTGAATATTGAGACTTTCACTCATTAGATGCTAGTCAACTAGGTGTTATCTCTTTAAAAATGATAAAATAAATAGAATTAAATAACTTTGATATTTTGCTAATTTAAATTTAATAATACTGTACTAATAAATCGGATAAAGGTAAATATTTAATAACTAGGGGTGCTAGCTCTACTACGAACTTCATCAAAAGTTGAAGCATAAATAGGGGTGATAATAGGTGCAAATGGTCCAAACATTTCATCAAGTTCATCTTTTGTCCATTCACGTGTTTGAGGATTTTTGATTAGTTTTAGTAGTTCAACTGCTGCAAGGCAAGCTTCGTCATTCCGTTGCATTTCTTCTGGTATATCCCAGAATACTTCAGTGCTTAAAGTTTCAGAGACCATCTCGGGGTGTAGTTGTCTCAGATTATATCCGACAATACATTCATGGTGTAGGTCTGTAGTGATTATACATGAAGTCGAAATGGATCATTTTGGATATCCGAAATGGTCAAAATGGTCAAAATCATTTTTTTTTTTGTTTTTTTTTTGATACTTTTACTAGGCATGCACAAGTGGTATTATATTTGGATGCATACCCTTCAACAGAAATAGATA